GACTAGGCATTAATTATAGATTCAGTTAAAATATTAGTAGTATGGTGAATATTAACAGATGGAGAACTACTGACGAAAAATAATTTGCAAATTTATTAGAAATGGCTGGTTATTTTCATAACTAGAGTTATCATGTGACATCGGAGATGGAATAAAATTAATTGTGCTGGGCTCTTTAATAAAGCCCCAAAATTATTTAGGATTATTAATTAAATTATTCTGTATGTTATCTCAGTAACGTTCATGTCATTGTTTTGAAAAGTATTTACATTAAGCCCGAAGTTCAGAGAAATATAAATAAGTCGTCGGGCTAGGGTTTATTTTATATTGCTTATGAGCTAGACGTTTTCCTTTGTAAGCTTTTGTACATTACTATTAAACCAAGAAGGGAAGTTACATTTTGGTACAATGTATGTAGGTACGTATTTCTCTAAAATAGTATTTACTATGTTATAAAACACTTCCACAATTGTGTTGATATTATCATTGGAAAATACATCATTCCAATTAATATTATTCAAGACCATTGAAATACCCACAAAGTCTGATTTATTAAAATTTTTCCTTATTAATGGTAATCTAGATTGCATTTTTGATCCTTTAAATTCACAATTTATATGAAGCGGAGGGTGTGGTATATATGTTGGAATTAAAGGGCTAGTGCATAAATTAACACTTAATAAATCTAAATTAGAAAAAACTAGGTCTAGTGTATTACCATAGAGATTACATAGGGAATTGTAGTGTGATAAATTGCAAATTGATAATGCATCAAAAACTACATTGACTGTCGCAGGCATGCGGCCACTAACAACTACACCAGTATTGTCATATGAAAAGGTAGTACCTCGAAAATTATAGTCCCCACAAGATTAATCTATATTATCTCCGAAGCGTTCAAAAAGCCATTTAAGTGTATGTACGTGAGTTTCATATACCGATATAGGACTGACTTCTGGAATATAACAATTTTTAAAAAATTTTAATCGAAACAAACACTTTTTCTATTGAATCGTAGGAATTGTTATTAATTCACTCATATATTTTCTGTGTATGCTAATCAGTACACCACCACGATCACATTTACTCGTCAAAACACTTCTATCACATCTGAAAATATTATAATTAAAGATACTTAATTCTGAATCTAACACGTCGTTATTAAACCAAGTTTCGGTAAAAATTATAAAATCATAGTTATTATACGGAACATTACAGGTTAAAAATTTCAGTTTGTTATTTAGACTTATTACATTTTGATAGTATCCAAATAAATTATTACTTTTCTTATAATTAGAAATATTTACATTGTTATGATTTGGTGTAGCTGTAGTTGACACAGCTACTTTCCTCAGTTTTTTTTTCACCAGAGTGGGAGCATCATGGATAAACTTGATAAATCATCCGTTATCGCCCGAGTGTTTCTTCGCATTTAGTTGACGTTTAACTTCATTGTATTGCGTGCGCTGTGTTATCGTCAAGTCCATACCGATAAATATATGTTTAAATGAATTAATTTCGAGTAGTTTCCGTTTAGCTTTTAAAACTGACAACATTTCCGACTTACTTCCGAGTTTAACCATTATAGGACGAAGTTTTACTGAATTTTTTCCAAAACTAGTGGCATGAATAATAGGTATATTTAAATCAATTTTATTAAAAATGAATTCGGCTAATTTTACCGGTGATAACTCACTACTGTTAGGTTCTTCTACAGCGTTAAAAATAAAATATTGTTTGATTTTGTTATACGTTCTTGTATTTCATATCACTAAAGATTTAATATCCGGACTAGTACTGTTATTGCACATTGAAGTGTCTAAAGAATTTACACGTATTCTGAGATTTGAGTTCATTATTTTATTTTCTTAAATTTGAAATATCTAAGGTGAGCTCATCTAATTTTGCCATAATCGAATCAGTCTTGTTCTCATGAATTGATAATTTAGTAGAAATCACGACCAATTTAGATTTTTGAGATTTTAATATTTTTATCACATCTTATAATGGAGGTTCTTTTTTGACAGACTGACTGGATACAGGAGATTTCGCAGTTAAAAATATTATTATTAGGATATATTTAAAAATCAAATTAAGCGTAAGATACTAATGTGTTCACCATACAACGGTCAACTGTTAATAATATTAAAATTTTGTACCCTATGTATAAGTTTCCTAATAATGTTTGGCAGTTTAATGTACATTTTTTTTTTTTTTTGTAAATTAACCTAATTTAATGTATATCTGACCATCGACAGTTTTCTTAATTGCAAAACGAAGTATATTTTCTTTATCATTTGCTTCAATTTTTTAACTGTTAGTACATGGTATTGATTTTTATTTGAAGTTTTTTATGTGTGTGCCCAAATTCAATAATAATCATAACCTACCACCCACTATCTACGTATCATGTTCTATGACCATAATTAAGAATGGCGCCACTGTCAAGGTTATCTTTTACTACTATAATGTACTAACTTAACATTAATATGTGCGGTTTAAATGCCGACAAAGCATGTGAATAATCATTTAAACATCGTGTTTTAAACCCAGGCATGCTATGTAATGTAAATATATTAGTTGAATTATTTTTAGTTTTTTTTGACAGAAAATATAAAATATAAAATTTTTGTTGAAATAAATGGGAACTTTTGAAAAGTAAATATTAATACATGGTTAATAAATGTCTGGTAAATAGTTTTTACTTGGTAGTTGTAAAATTATTTCGGTGACAGCCATCTCTGGAATTTAATGTAAAATTAAGTTATTAATGATCTCATTATATTTATTATTTTTAGCACTATTTTCATGTTTTTTAATAATAGCAAAATGATATAATTTCTTAAATAACTGTTGCTTAAAAAAACGATTTTAGATTTAACTAGTTAAAAAAGTTAATAGTTTAAAAACTTATTTATTTATTGAATTTTAATTTACTATTTGGATGTATATATAATTAGTTTGTTGATTAAATTGATATGTATAATGATTTGAGTATTTAAGTAATGAACACATTGTCGATCTTGTCTTTTTATATAATATATAATCTGTTAATAATATTTGTTATGTTCGAATAAAGTTTATAAATCAATGTAGTGATTGAACGAGTTTATTTCGAAAGAAAAAGTGTTTAATTATGTTTTTGATAAAATGTAATGTAATATGATTACTTATTTTTATCGTATAAATTAACTCTTTACTACTGTCCACAGTGTTTAATTTTAAACATTTATTGAGTTCTTTTAAATATTAATTTTATAAACCTCAGCAAACATGTTCTAGATTCTGTAACTGTATTTATAATTATCATAATAATCTTGTTTCAAGAAACCGTTCATAATGGCAATGTATGTAAAGCTTTTGGCTCGTGGTGACAAACCTAAATTTTGGTGGACATCAAATTTTGGCTGCATTCTATATTTTTTATAGTACTATAGTACAATTTAGATTCTTAACGATATTCTGCTTCCTTGCATTGTATATTTATTTTTGAAAGCGTTTTGAGTACTACTAATTATAAGTTAGCTATTTAATTACGAAATATTTGTTATATAAGACGTATAGTACCTAAAAAATGTTAACTAATATTGTATACTTATTTTAAAAAAATCGACTTGTATAATTAAATTTTGCTTAAATAGTGTTTACGCAAAAAACCTATTTTTTATTTTAAGGTATACGCAAATTTATGAGCCTATACCCTTCAATATAAATAATATATACATATTATTTTTCCTGGTGTAGATTAATATGAAAAATTGTTTTTGGCTATATGTCATATACCACTAACGTATACAGGGTCGGATTAAGAACTATATGACCCCCGGGGCGGTACATTAAGATGGACCTATGAAAAATATCGCTACCAAAAAAAAAAAAAAAATAATGAGTAAAAAAAAAAAACAGAAAAACTCACTAATCATGACTAGGCTAGTGAAATCGGAGATGAACTTTGGGGCGTTAGACCTCCCCTTAATCTGGCCCCAAACTTATTCCCCAAAATATCATTGCGCTTAAGAATGTTGATATAGAATCTGATATCATCACGTTTTAATATAAATTGTAATATAGGCCTTTCAACGTAAAGCGATTTAAATTAGTGACGGTCATATTCGGATATTTTAAATTATCCAATAACTATTCGAATTGTTTTTATGCAACCGAATAGTTATTTTTAGCATAAACTATCAAGCATTAATAAAACTATTTTTGATAGTTTTATTTAACTAATCAAATATATTGGGTAACTATCGAATATTTAAATTTTTTAATAAATTTTGAATGACTTTCGAATAGTTTGATAGTTACTATTCGATATTTCCAATCACTAATTTAATACATTAAATACGTGTCTCTTTAAGTAGTTTTTAATCAATTGCTATTTTTTTGACAAAACGATTGCCTTTTTTGTATTTGACATTTTTTTATCAGTTATATCAGTAATATTACTATTTTAATAAATATATAATAGTAAATTCATAATAACCTCCAAAAAAAAAAAATATATTTATATATAATTAATTTTTATTATATAAAAATAATTAAATCAAATTAAATTAAATTTATTATAATTAACTAAAATCCAATAGCTTGGCAAAAGAATTTAGAGTCTAAAATAACATTTCAATAAAGGTCATATGATTTGTCATGTGTAAGAAATCAAAATTCGTTTTAATTTCTTTTATCTTTATTCTCGGAAACATGTGCCTTAAAAACAACTTTTAGGAAATGTGATCATGCGACGCACATTTAAGGTGGTTTATTTGAAGCCGGCCATCTGTTATTCGAAGGATTGGTTTAAATTATATGTCTAAATGGTTTCAGATGTAAAATATTTTTCTGTTTTTGGCGGGTAATCTCCTATTTGTATTTAAAAACTAATACTATGCGTCATCAATTAATGTTCAATTTAATTAAAAGTCTAAATTATTGTAGTAAATTTCAAATCTGATGTAAATAGTTCATGTTAATATAAAACAGTGATAAAAAGTAATATAACAGTATATTGGATATCCTTCATAGTGATGTTATTATAAAATATGAAGTTTTGTACATTTTAGAAATTCATTTTAAAACTTAATAATTAATTATCTTACTTTACCTTCTAGTTTGTAACGCTATATTTGTGGAGAACATTCTAGATATATATTGAGCCCACTCAAAAAAAGGGGCCCATCGTAAAGATATTGATAGTTGATGATCCGTTTTTTTTTGCTTACTAAAGTTTAATTATATTTAAATACCTAATGTTGTAATTTGTAATGTGCTCATGAATTGACAAATTAGGACCCTCTAAATCGTAAACAATAATTATTTTATGAATAAATATCAAAGGAGACTCACAATTATGTGTCATTTCAAAAATATTATCTAAAGTTGTTTTTTATTAAATTATTAGAATCAATTTGTTTACATTACAATATTACCTTTTTCATAGATAGTTATTGTAATTCTGCTTCTCAAGAAAAATTTTTATGTTAATTTTGTTTCTGTACATTATTGCAATAATCCTTATTTATTAAGATAATTTTACTTAGTTTAGTAACTTGGCTTTCCATATTACGTTTTTTTTTTTTCAAAATACTAAATAGTCTTATATTATTGTTTTGGTGGCATATGGAATAACATGCTAAATTCTAATATTTTTAATTCAATTTTAGCTATCTTATAAACTGTAATAGAAATTTTTTGTCAGCGTATTAAAAATAATAATAATATCTAATAGTGTTCATTAACCAAACATAGAATTTTAATAATAAAATTAGCATTTAAATTGTTTAAGCCACAACAACAACAAATGTTTGTTATTATACTAAAATGAAGTAGTAATTTTAATTCCATTTTCTATTACTTATCGTTAAGTTGTTATTTATTTTATTTAAGGTTTTTTCTTTTTTGTGTTAAGAAGAGAACAGTTTTTTTTGACATCATCACAGATAAATTATTAATTTATAACCTACGCGAATGTTTGATCATTTTTAACGGATAATTGATTATTTAAAACCTAATTCTTAGTATACTGTTATTGAATCTAAATAGAAAATAGCTCATCGCTAAATCATCATTATTGGTTTTCTTTAGTAGTATTCCGGCACTTGCATATTCTCTTCTCAGTCGCCAAATTAATTTTGCACTAAAAGAAAGCATCTAAAACTGTTATTAATACATTCGCGTGCTTATTTCATATTGATAATAGTTTAGTTTAAAACACTCTGTACTCATTTGATTTTCACCTTGCAAGTACTTTTTCTTTATAAATTATTGAAATTTACTGAATAAAAAAACAAATTAATTCTGAATAAGATTTAATATATCAGACAATTTATACTATCATTCTTGTGAGTATGTAAGTTATACGACATACTAGTTGGATGTATTGGTCGAACATTATTTACATGTAATACGGTCTTTGTGAGACACGTAGTGCATAGGTCGAACAAGGGTCATTTCAAGATTCTTAAAGTCTGATAGTTCCTAATGTGATATGGGGGTCCTCTTAGGAACTACATTTTAATTCAAGTCTCGACCGACAGGTAGCGCCGGTCATGTCCGCAAACGACAAAAATAACCCACGTTTTAATCTAGTAACTCTCGCGTAGTTGTGCGTGTACCTCGCGGCCGTTCCTATTGTGTGTCGGATGAGTGTTGTTTTCTTAGTGTTCCGTATATGACGATTAAGTCCTTTGACTCATGTCCTGAAAACTTATTGTAAGTTCACCAAAATACCATTGTTATGAAATTATTCAGCAAACAAGAGTGTCTTTTTGATTGAGAAAATTTATTCTGTTCAGATGTCTATAATCTTTTCGTAACAACATCGTTAAGTAGAATCTTTTAACTGAATTAATTGTTTAAAATATCATATTTTATTGAGTCATAAGTGCGCATCGTGTGAGTGTTTCTCGAGTGGATTTTCTTATTCATCAATCGTGTGTCTTACTACAAGTAAAGAGCAAGGGTGTTTGATTAAAATTAATTACTCTATATCCCGACCTTTTGCTGTGAAGGTTGAGTACATCACTTGAACACTATATTCCGCGTTAGTCTTAATTTACTTTAGTTTGCCTATCAACATGAATATTTACTATGTCTTTTAATATTCTATACAGCAATTCGTGACAAGAAATTAAACGTTTATTTGAGTCGTAAAAAGTGAGCGTATTACGTTTCACCGTGCAAACTAATTTTTTTTTTGTCAAATAAATTGGTGTATTATCAATTCAATTTTTTGTGTCCTGAATGTAAAGTTAATTTGAATAGATTATTTGATTTTTGTGATTTATCTTTTAGGAATTCCAGCGTCATATAATTTCTAATTAATCAATATTCGATTTTTACTTTACTTAATATTAAATTTTACCAGAACTTGAATATTTGTATTGACCAAGCTGCCAAACGAGTTTTTTCGTTAAATTCATTCATGTACTTAATTTTGTTTAAGATTGGTTAACCCGTTAACTCATAACATAAATATTAATCTTAATACAGGCATTGTTTTTATTTTATATTCATATAGATCATATTTTTAAGGTTAACTCGATTAACCTATGGATAACAATATTGGATTGCTGTAAACTTTTTTGTCGTATTTTTCAATGAGCCTGTGAAAGGTGTTGAACCGGTTTTCGCATGACATTTCCATACATACACAAAACGAACTATTAAAAATATATTTAAGTGTATCAATAACATTTAATAAAATTTTGGAATGATGTACATATTAACTATTATGTGTATAAATTCAAAAACGTTTTTACTTAGCTGAAAGTTATTTTTTAAATATATGCCCGAAAGCTTTCAAACTGTTCTCTATCTCTTTCTTTCTATTAATGTTTCATTTGTACATCACCTTCATAATTTCTGTCACGTAGACACATCAACAAGTCTGGTGGATGCTGGTCTAGGAATTTATATTTCATCTTGTTGGCGAGCCGAGGGAAAGTGAGACGTGACGTTGTGGAATAATTGTTGAAGCATATCAACAAAATGTAAAATATTAAAAATTCAATTGTCTGAACACATCGTATATTTGTCGACTTGTTTCAATTAAAGTTTTGAATTTCGTATAAGCTGGTTCTTCCATATTTATTGTGTTCGAAGGAAAATATAAAATGTTTATGTTAAGTCGATGTGTTGTTGTTTGTTTTTTAATCTTGTTATAAACACCATTATTATTATTATCAGCACTAGAAGTTCTTCTTTATTTACTATGAACGTTTAAGTGTCGTTAATATAATTTATGGATGATTTCATATTGTATTTATTAACTAGCGTGTTCTATTGAATTTATCACTTGCTATTAATTACCAATAGATATGCAACTGTCCATTCATAAATTTAGATGTCCATCGATTGAAAGGTTATTGTTATTGGTTATTAATGCCAATAGTATACAAATTTCGATTGTAACATATTTTTACCGTGCTAATTAATCTTAAAATCATGACTAATTTTTCAGATATTAAATTTTAAACATTGATTCCTTTTTAAATTAACTATTTTTTTCTTATAAATTAGAAAGCCTACATTCTTTCAATTACGTTTTTCCTCATCTAGGACATTGAGATATTTGATATGCGTATTGTTCGTTGGTCATTCATATCCCTACTTTCAACATTGAAAAAGTTATCATTGAATACCTACAATTAAATTATTCGTGCAACGATACGTTTTGCGGTACAGCAAATGTAGCCCTGAAGCCAAATAACACTAACTATATAATATCGTTCAAAAGTATACATCTCATCAATTTAAGTAAATGTTTGAGCTTGTGATTAAATTTAAACCACATTCTATTAGCTATCATAATGTTATGTGGGTCATTTGAAATTGTCAACACAGCATTTTATTTTTAAAAATAATAATTAATATTACAACACCTTCCTGCCCTACCCACTACGTATTCAAATAACAAATATTTTTTGATGAATTGTTGTGTACTACTATTATATAGAGGTCATTGTGCACATAGAAAAAGTTGTTAAAATATTTTAATTGTACCTTCCTTTCCAATTAGATATCAATTCATTTTAATCGTAATCTGCACGTCTAAAGATTTGTGTACCACTGATATTTAACGAGTTATATTTATTCAATCCAAAATTATGCGACGATAAAGATTAGATTTCTGTATTTTTTATAGGTATCACAAGAATCGTCCTTGATACATTGGTGGCTAGTAATTTCGGTTGAAGGTTACTTCATTTTAAAAATGAAAATTTAATTTTTATTGTGTTACAACCCTTTATTGATCATTATTTATTTGTGATCTGTAATAGCCAACAGGCAGTCATTAGTTGTCTAATATTGAGATGGTAATATTTCACTGTGCATATTTGTAGCAGTACGTTATAGATTAAGTCGTGTATAGCGCCATCTTTAATACTTTTCAGTTTGATCCGACAACTCAATATGCTGTCTAGTTCACATTCTTTATTATGTAATAGTCACTCCTATAGTTGACGTACTAAAGAAATGTGCGGTTTCAGTCATAGGTAATCTTCTTTAATAATATATTGGCCTAATATTGCAGCAGGGATAATAATTTTCATCTAAAAATTCTCGACTGGAAATTACTTTGATCTCATCCGTGCGGTCATGTGCCGAGAACAACGACTGTAACCCCAGTGCGGTTTATTGTAAATCATATCATAATGATCTCGACGTGTGTTCTTTATACTTCCATCAAAGAAGAAGCTTTTATTATAGTATTGCTTCAGTCTTTTGTGTGCGATCTAATTTTTTTTGTTTTTGGTAATTTATGTACGATATTATGTTTGGCTGACAGCATTATTTTCTATATGTTTGTGTAATGTCATTTATGCACGTAGAAAAATTGTGTACATTTGAGTTTTAGAAATACTGACAGGCTATTCGTACAAGATTTTAACTTGTGAAGACTAGTATAATGATGACAAAAATAGAGAGAGAGACACTGCTGTTTGCTTGGACGAGATCCACGAAAATTGAATATTATATATATATATAAATGTGTGTGTGTACATATATTATTTAACTATATAAAATGTTGGCTTTTACAAATCGCGCAAAGTCTTATATGTACTTATCGCCATGATCCCTTTACAGTTTTTTGTTAGACTTCAACCATCACATTTTACAACCGGCCATGAACTCTTGTTTCCCTCCGTTGGCTACCCTGACTCTTAAAGACAAGCGGCGAAACTCCGCTTATTTGGAGTCTACTATCGCCGGAAATCAACCCACCTCCGGTGGGGGCAAACCTAATGTCATTCAAGACATGGAAATGTTTTATATCAAGCAAATAGCTCATAACCTCAAGGTAAGCCTTAATTTTCCAACATCAATAATCGTAGTTTAATTAAAGTAAGGACGATATCATCCAACTAAGATATATCTTAAATAAACAATCATGTATGTCATTATGATGGTTTATTGTAAATTCAATTTGATATGTAAAAAATCCACTTGAATGAATAAATTTAAAATTGTGTTTGATGTTATTATAAATCCATCGTAGCTGCTCTATTGTTATTTTCAATTATTACAGAATATGTAATCTAATATTATTATTATTATTTAATCAAGTACTTCACTTTTTACGTTTCATTTTAAAAGAAAAATAAATATTTTATTTGACTTCATATCAAATTATTATAAGTAATGTATTTATAAGATAATATTAAATATATTATATTATTAAAAACATCTATTAATTTTTGTACCGTATTATGAAATGCCTTTTGTAATTATTACCTATTGTGTCATCCTATCTAAGTTAATATAGATACACGACCGTAATTAGAAATTTTAGTCTACTGGGACTAAAGTCCTACCATTTTCTTGAAATCTATTTAATGTCGCACAGTCCAAAGTATCCAATGTTGACCAAATAAAGAACATTTTTAGCAAATGAGGTGCTTGCTTTCATTTACAGGCAGAGAACTTCAAGAATTTGCATTTCTTTTTGTGTATACATAAAAATAGACGAAAATTGTTTCATATTACAAAATATTCAGATCGTAAATTTTGTATGTTTAGATTCTTTTTACTTTTTAATGCATGTTTGACATATTTATGTTTTTTTTTTTTACACATTTTTTAGAATAACATTTTTATTAAGACATTTATTAATTAATGTGCATATTTATGTATATTTTAGAGCTTCTCTACTTATTTACTTTCGTTATCACAATAAAATCGACTAATGACGATCCCGGTTCTAATTTATGCATTTAACGAATAACATTATATGTAAAATTCATCCATTTTGTCGCACTCTCAAAATCAAGTTTTACATGTAACACGTTATTTAAAAAAATAAATGGCTGTCAAGTTAATGTCTAATTATGTTTCATTTTAAGTTGTTAAAAGTATATAAATAACTACAACGAAATATTAAGTAAATATTTATAAAATTTACCATGATCTAGAAAAAATAACAGCTAGGGGGATTAGTCTCTCCAAGCCCACCTACATCAATATTTAATAATATTCTGTTGTGTATTTATTATACATTTTTGATTCTCCAATAATTCTTATGTATCAAAAATATTTTAATATAATGCATTTCATATTTAAATTAATTGCACTAACTCATGATAATGTCCTTACTGATAACTAAAATTGTCTAATCTTATATAAATATGCAATCTAACAATTGATAAATATTAATGATTAAAAACTTAAAAATTTGAAATTCTTATAATAGTTTCATTCGTCTATTTTAGTTTCATAGTAAAAAATATTATTTTTATGTAATTAAAATTTTTAAAATCTACTAATTATTATTTTGAAAAATTTTATTAATTTATACACGATGTGTCTTCCTGGAGTTAAATGTATATTTTAAATACTATTATTTGTAAACATTATGGTCGCTAAATGTTTACATAACACTAGTCACTCTAACTAAGTATTATTGCTTCAGATTCGCCAAGTTTTTATTAAAGAAGAAAAAACAAAGCACTTTATTTTGATACTCAATAGAATGTAATAATAGTCTTCTTATTGGCTAATTAGTATAATGCATATTCATTGTAATAAATACATTTTTTTAGTAAGTTATATGTAGAAATAATAAGGTTTAACGAACAAAATTATCGTTTGTTAGTTTGCTATAGTTTCGAGTATTTACGTTTCAAATGTTACTAAGCAACCAGTATATTGTTTTAAAAAAAATTATCTTTCAATAAGAACTTAATACATTTAACGCGAAAAATAATGTAATTAATAAACTTACGTTTGAAAAATAAATTCCTAATTTTTGTTTATGAATTCAATTAAAACCTATATTGTTTAAGTATATGCCGTCACTTTAGTTTAGTTAACATGTGTTTTAAGCTCAATATTTACATAGAAGTATAATTCCGGTTTGATCGTTAAAGTGACAAAATCGATTGAGATTAGTTATTTATTGTTTATACATAATACTTTTTCGTTAATTGACCGCTAAATGCAAATTTCCTGAACTACCGACATAAATGATAATTTAAATATGAGAGAAATTTCGGGGGAAAAACTCATTATTTGGTTTTTGACAAATTAATTTCATTTATTATTTGTTATTTTTATAGTTTTAAAATAGTAATTTTTATAAAGCAATAGCAAAAGAGTCGGTAATTATAAAAGCAAACTACATGACAACCGGTAGTTATTAAGATAATTAATACAAAGTAATCGATATCCATTCGTTCGTGAACAGCTGACACGTTTATTACTTTTCTTTACACTGATCTTACTTTCAATAGTAAAGAGTTAAACATGTGAACCACCCACTATTCACATTGCTGGTAGTAATCTATAACTGTGATTTTTTTCTTTAATGGGGTGGTCAATTTTGGAATAAATTCGCTATGCGTGTCAACATTTGCTCACGACCAATCGTTTACTGGTAAAAAATCAACCGTTATTCGACAAAACCATCATTATTGCTTCTGCATTATAGTATTTATTGTATACTCAACAACGATCACGGGAGTTCACACAGCACATGTATAATCATAACATTATAATATTGTTATCCGTTGCATGTGTTACAATGGCTGTTGTAGTGTTGGCCAAACCGGACAATGCGATGCTGCCAGCTATTTCCAGAGTACTACACCGCGACCGTGGTAAACTCCTCTTATTGTGGCTGCGATTCATCAATGCATTGTACCTTGACAAAAGTATTTTAGCTATAATAGGTGTTAGGTAAATGAAATGATTTTTTAAGGTTTTATTTTAAATAGCTAGCTGATACTGTTACCAGAAGGGAAAAAAATACTTGCATAATCACTCGTGATTGTACTTGTATGTTACATTAGATGGTGACTGTGAAACTATATAATAAAAAAATGAAGTGTCCTTTGCCGTTGTTGTATTTAACTTATGAAAATTCATTTAATATATGAATTTATTGTTATACCTTATTATGGTATAGTTTAATAACTTACTGGATTTGTACGGTGTAATGTTTTACGGTTAAGTTTTAATCGATTCTACATTTCACTTATAATCAAAACATTTTTCACGATATTGTATAAAAAAAAAAAACATTTTCAAACATTTAGCGTTTATGGTATTGTGTAAGAGTTTAAGCATTATAATATGATACATATACTGCAATTAATACATAATTTGATAGTATATGATAACTATTTTTGAAATTATATACTAAATTCTAAAATCTGTAATATAATCGGGAAACAGCCTACAGTTTTTAATGATATTATTGAATTGAATAGGAATGTAGGTTGATTATCTAATAAACCTTGGTATAAGTAAAATATAATTCATATTAAATCATTACTTTTTTTATGTTAATACTATTTAAGAGAAAAGTTAGGAGACTTTAAAATTAATAATAATAATTATCTATCATCTTTGATAGCTTACCATTTTTGATTCAGCATGCAAAACATTATAATACTATATAGTGTAATATATGTTCTGGAGTGTTTATTTATCATTGGAAGTTTAAGTAAAATTGTACAAAATTAATATTGCGATAAAATTTGATAATGGTGAATTTTTTGGAGCGCGTTAAATACATACTCTCTTTTTCTCTCTCTAAAAGTTGAATATTTGTTCTCAAAATTAATAATATTCCAATTCATTAGTATCCTTTAACCAGTACCGGTATTTCTTTTTAATACTTTCTATTCCAGTAGTATTCAGTTATAATTACAAAGTGTTTTCGTTCAATTATCATTATTCATCTTTATTTCGTTTAATCGGTGTAATGTGCTCGGACAAAACATTAGTCATATTATATTAAATATAATAATTGATATATTTATATCTTTCATTATATTAGTCATATTATTCTGAACGTCTCTTTGCTCAGAATCGTTGTACAATCGCCAAAATATGAGTCTCACTTTTAGAAAAAATTTCGGTCTTACAAAAGTTGATGTTGAATATTCTACTAATTCGATTTTATTGTAAAGGAACGTTTGTGACAATTTTCTGTCCTTCTTAAGTTATAAATCACTTTTTATTCGTATTCAAGAGTGTATTAATCAAAATCAGTGATCATAGCCAAACCTGTCGTAAGTCAAGTGGCATATTGCCCAGTCACTAAGAAATGTTAGTAGATACTCCGGAAAAATGGCAACGCACAGAAATTGATAGCAGTAGACAAATGAAAGAAGAATCTTAAACATAATTGTCGCGTCTACGAGCAAAATATGCTGAGAATCTGTTTTGCCTATTAATAGATAAGAATGTGCGTGGTTTACCTTTAAATGTTATTTAACGACAATCGGCATCTTTAGTTGATGAAGTCTGTTTGCAATGCAGTATACGTGGTTAGATTAAAATATATATATGAAATCCCAGGTATAAAATTTAAGTTGCTACACAGAAATTTATTATGAGTTGCAGTCACAGAGACACCGGCAAGTATTTTCACCCATGTTTTCGCATGGTTATTGCGTAATATTGATTGAAAAGTGATATTTTTTATAAAAAGTAAAAGAAAAATTATTAAAAAGTTAAATACAAGTTTTTAACACAGCATTACAACTTTATTGCAGTTGTAATGCTGTTTGGAAAATCACATTTCATTCAAAAACCGGATTATATTTAATTAGTTTCTGGTAACAAAAGACACTTGTTTAAGATTTAAACGTCTTGCAATTTTATAATTATTTAATATTTAATCTTATATATTTTTAATGTATTATGTAAACAGTATGTTAAATTTTTTAATAATCTAATCCATTCATAGCGTAACATATTAGTTATTGTGATATTTATCAATGAAGTAATCAAATTCAATGAATATGAAAGAAAAAATACATAAATTTATAAATATTTGTTTGCACTTATTATTAATAATTAATAGTAACTTATTGTGTGTCAAGATAAATGATTTACTATTGAGTATTAATGTATTAATCATGTTTAGTTTTCAGAGCTGATAATATTGTTCTTCATAAATGTATACGTGCGAGTCATATCTCAAAATATATTTCTCTAATGTCGTCACTTTTTATTTGGTTATTGATTCACTATTATTTAATTATTGATGATCTATTTAAAAATATTTAGCTTATACCTAAAAGAAAACTAGTTATCGAGTAATCATTTAGTTACATTTCTGAATTTATTTATTGAAACAAATTTAGGTAAATATATTAACTTGAGTAAATAAGTATTTAAAATACTTTAAGTTAAGTTTACAGGGAAATAACTAGATATTGTTATAATAAGATTATTGATTTCCATTTTTTGACGTCTCCAGTAACTTCTAAAGAAAGTAAAATGAGGATTAATCTGCCCATTTTTATGGAATAAACCGTTAAATATCTATATAATATTTATACAGAAAGTAGTATAAGTACTTGTATGTTTTTTATTTATATTTATTCGAGTGCCATATTTACTAGAGTTTGTAATTCGGAACCTCATGGACATAAAATCATATGTTAGTGAAGAGATGTATCTCCCACTACTCTATGTTTTAAGTGCTATCGGGACTCCATATAAAATTACTAAATACGCTATTGATTAAATTGTTGTAAATATATTTAAGTGGTATTTGTTGTTATAGTCAATAAATTCAAATTATTTTAATATGTATTTGTATTGATAATTATTATTAAATTTGAATAACTTAATTCTGTTAATATTTAACGTGCCTTAAAAATAAAAATCTTGGAGTTTAATTAATTTATCTAAATGATTTAAATGCAAACTGATGTTAGCATATTATTTCTTAACAAATTTTTTAACATAGTGCATTGGGGTTTATACGTGTTTTGTATTTTATGATCTCAGTGTTTGCATAAAAGAATGAATACCCTTATGTTCATATAGAACATGAGACACGTGCCTTTCCGGCTTCCACAGAGAGGGGAATCTTGATAAAGACTCGTTATAAGTATTGGTACAGTATGTGCTTCCATTTCCTGTAATAATTTGACAACCAGGTTTAAGACACGTAGCATCACCCCAGGAAATGTCATCTTTTTTCGAAGTAAATAATCTTTACAACACTATGATAAGTTCAGATAGAGTAACCACCCCCTCTTTAAAATTTTTGTCATGCAATTATTGTTTTCTTAACATCATCATTCTATATTGCGATAGGTAAAGTTGTAAATAGAATCGTGCTTTTATTTTGATTATATATTGATAAAATAAAATAAAAAATACATTAGTTTTACTAGTCTAGTTTTGATCGAAAACTGATTATCAGTTTTTTATTCTCGTAGTTTTCTAATTGTGTTTATATTATCGACAATTTATTATTATCAATCATTTTTTGTTTTCACTTTCAAAAATCAATCTGCTTATACTTTTAAACTGTTACTTTACATCCTAAAATTATATTGTTAAACTGTTACTTTACATCCCAAATTATATTGTTAAACTGTTGTTTTGTTTGATGGTTAAATCGCTTTTTTATGATACGTAATAGTTAGTAGTATTAGTTTTATCGTTAAATGAGGAGTAAAATATNTCACTTTCAAAAATCAATCTGCTTATACTTTTAAACTGTTACTTTACATCCCAAATTATATTGTTAAACTGTTATTTTGTTTGATGGTTAAATCGCTTTTTTATGATACGTAATAGTTAGTAGTATTAGTTTTATCGTTAAATGAGGAGTAAAATATATTAGCAAAATAACACGTACGACCATAATGAATAGGGTTGTAAAATTATTAAGTAGGTATTAAGATAAATTAAATTTTTGCAAAATACCGAGTACGTGCCTTTTTAATATTTGGTCTCGTAGAACTTGACTCTTTGATTACAGAAATGGGATTATATGTTGTTACTCATGACATAAAATTTAAATAATTTTTAAACTCGTGATGCTATAAACCAGTCTAGGTAAAGCGTTTTTAAGATTCGCTCTACTATTGAAATGTTTTATCCGCCCTTTTTTGAGGTTTCACCCACCAGGTGTTAGCGTATTGCCGTCACATTATTATGCTGAAGTTTTTTTAAATACTGGTACGATTTCAAAAATTTCTTTACATTAAAAGTTCTTTAAAAGTCTTTACAGCAGTGGCGGCTTGTGGCTTGAACGACGGTACGATCGCACCTCCTACTAAAATTAATTAAAAGAAGTAAATCAATTGTATGTTCTTAATTCTACATTTTTATTAAAAATGCAAATTTTCAAATAGTAAAATAGTTATAATACATTTGGCGTGTGCGAACATTAAAGTCGTTTCCCTCAGTATATGCGTTACGCATGCGCACACGAGCAATGTTTGGACGACCGGCAGCGTCGTCCATACGGTAAAATATCAGTATATTACTATATTGGTAATTTATTTTAATAATTAACTACGTGTACGCTCGTCTTTATTGGTTGCTATAATAGTATAGTCGCTATTATTATTATTATTATTTTCATTTCTATTTTCTACTGTGACCTTTAAAATAACTATACGTGTATTGTGTTTTATTTTATTATATTTAATATGACATTTTTTTGTACCTATGACTAGCGGTATTATATTTAAAGTCGCACCGCCACCACCAGAACCCACGAGTCGCCACTGCATTATAGTATATCATAATTTTTGTTTTTCAGGATTTCGAGCTGGAGCAAAAAATGGAATTCGAAATGAAAATGCGTGAAGGGACAACTCGGTTGCTGGCTGCCTGTAAACATCAAACGCAATCGTTGCAAGCCGCCAAGAGTCTATTGACTTCTAACGAGCGAATGACTGCCTACATAGCAGAATTGCATAGAAAGAGTCGAGAGCCACCGCAGTAAGACTTGAACTGTATTATATTGTTACTTTAGGAAATTATTACAAATCTATCCAATTATCAAAATTAATTGAATACATTTGTTTTAAATTTATTCTTATAGAATTGGATGGAACGGAGGCAAAGCAAGGGTGTCTCTTTCTGATTTAAGATTACCTCTCATGTGGCGTGACACAGACCATTTCAAAAATAAAGGAGACTATAGACGATTTGCAGTGTTCTGCTTGGCTAGAATAGGAACACAGGTCTACGATACTGGGCTCCAGTTTCCGGTGGATAGATCCATGACTGATGTAACGTTTAATGACACTCTTATGTTGTGAGTAGTTAGTAATTAAACCATAAAAATTAATCATACAATATTTACGGGATTTTATGGTTTACAGTGAAAATGTTGGACCAGACTTTAAACTCGACTTAGAAGTGTATGCACATGTATTGCGTGATGACCTCTCAATAGCGACTACTTCTAGAAAAATAAAAAATACTTTACATAGCTCTATTAGCCGCACCGTGGGGAAAAAATTAGCTGCCACTTTACGAGACGAATTAAATAGTGGTAAAATGTGAGTATTTTTAAAAAATTATTTGTAAAGAAAATATTATTATTGTAAGGGAATACTGGGATAGATAATATGTAATTTTAGATACGTTTTTGGATAGTATTACTGGTGAAATATTATGTGTAAATTGATGTTTCAATATTATTTTTTATTAAAAGTCTTAACCTTTTTATGTTTCAACGAAAATTACAAAGTATTAGTTTGTGATTAATTATTGGTTTAAATAACTCGTATATTCATTATAAGACCTATTTTCATACAGTAGCTTTATTCGATGTGTGAATATAATTTTTCATTCGAAGAACACATAAATAAAAATTGTATCACCATTTTATTTTTTTTAATTTTTTTTTGAATAATCATATTCTATTTATATTTTTCCAATTATACATTTAATAAATATAACTTTATACCATTTTTTTAAACAATTATAATATTATAAATGTTATTATTGTAGTGGGCCAAGTTTTGAGCTGATGGCATCTGCAAAATTAACTCTGGACGAAGTTGATGATAGGGTTCATACACATGATATGAAAATAGAAAGCATTCGTAAGTAAATTATTTTACTTTTATATGATCAAAAATTATATATTAGTATATTTTTTGATTATTTTATATAGAAAATCGTAGTCATCAATTACCTTTATTTGGACATTTTTGTTGTCGCTTGGCTGCTCAACCTCAATGTGTGTCATCTCCAGTATATTCCGGCTATGTCAAGTCACGGGATGTTTCATCTCTTCTATGGGCACGTCTTCAAAGATTTGAACTATCATTATGGTTATCTGCTAATGAAGCTGACTGCCAACCACCTCAGAATTCCTATAGAGTAGATAAAGTAATATACTTAATTAAAATTTATTATTTATAATTACAAATTATAATTTATTTTACTAAATATTTTTATGTACATTTTTCTTAGCATACAGTTATTAGAGCATTAAAGTCGAATAATGAAATAGAAATTTCAAATCAAGTAGAAAAAAAAACTATTTCTTTTATATTTAGAGCGAATAATGGCGAAGATAAAGGAAACTGGCTTAAACATCTTGTACAACATTCAAAAGAATATTATAAGTAAATTACTAACTTTTTTTAAATTTTTAGGTGGTAATTTTATGTAATTTATTTTTAGATGGAAAAAAGCTGCTGAAAATATTATGGAGGTACAGCTGTTAGAAAATAATAGACACTCATTTGTTAAACCTGAGCGACAAGGATCTCTTTATGATGAAACACCGTTACTTGGTAAATCCTGTTAAATTAAACAATATGTTACATTTCTCATAATTTCAAATGATTAAATATTATACAGGTTGATTCTTTTAACGCTAGGCACTGAATTTTTTTTTATTGTTAGTTACATTTGTATTTTCATTTATCTGTTGTAAAATAATTTTTGAGTCCATCTCTTATATCTTATAGGGAGAGGTGTCAACTTTATAATTTTAATGGCAACATACCTATTACACTAGCTTATAAAATAGAAATTTGTTTAATTAAGAAAATGTCTGGTCGATAACAACTTTTGAACCAGTAATTTAGAAGTTATTCTCATTTTCATACATGGGCGTGAGAAAGACTACAACTAGGAAATGACTAGTGAAAAAATAACATCACCTACTCCTCATCTCCAGTCATTATATTAAATTATTAATAATTTCGAAATACTTGTCCAAAAGTTGTTATTGATCAGTCATTTGAAAATACATGTATAACTAACAAAAAAAAAAAAAAAAAAATTAATTTTTTAAGAGAANAAAAAAATTAATATTTTAAGAGAAATTGAGAGGCTAGCATTAAAAGAATCTCTTAAGTAAATAAACCTAATACTTGGAATATAGAAGACTAAAAAATTTGTACTTTTATACTTCATCAAAATAAAAATATAAATAAGTCATTGATGAGATATATTTATGTTATAAAATATATAGAGAAAAAATAAATTAAATCTTTATAATTGCATGAAAAAAAGTCAGATAATGATTTTAACCAGTACTTTTCTAATAATGTGAAAGATTCTTGACAAATATTGTTTATTTTTACATATCTTATTTGTTTTTATCAGAAATGTATTTTTTATTTTATTTTAAGAAACAATTGATAAAGATAATCATAGACCTACTGTGTTGGATATATTTTCCAATCAAGAACAAAATTCAACAACGAGTCTTACTTCATATTCATCTACTGGTTCTCGTGAGTTACGTTCTAATTCATCATCATCATCATCTATTGTAAGCAGTAGTAGTAACCAAAAATCAAGATCTCATTGGCCTTTTTCAAAAAAAACATAATTACATTTAAATGTACATCGATGAAGTACACAGTTAATAATGTACTATTTTATTGTATTATTCCTTATTATAAGTCTTATATTGTACCTGTTGAAATAATTAAATGAAAGTATACTTTTTTTTCATTTATTTACTAATTTTTGGAATATTTCCTATAATTATTGTTATTATAACTTGAAATTCAATACTTAGCCTTCTCTGTAAAATTTCTGTAAAAAGACTTGACAGCAATTGAAAAGCTAAAAAAATAATTATTGAACACTAGTAATTTTTAATTATGTATATATATAATTTTTTTTTTTTAATTTATTCACAGTAGTTTTGATACATTTTTGTCATATTAAAACTTTTACTTCTGTTAAATTGATATTTAATTTTCTGTGTTTAAAATCCTATTTATTTATAAGTAAACCTTAAGGATTTAATTAAATGTGTACTTTTTAAATAAACCTTCTTAGTGTAGTTATAATATAAAATTGATGGATAAGTCATAAGTAGATAAATGTTATATTCTGTAGTTTTGAATAAGATTCCATAACAATTTTTATTTGGTGTAAAATTTGTATTTTTGTATTTATTTATATAAATAACTTTTTTTAAATTATACCAGTTCTCAAAGTATAAATGATAACTAAAACATGTATTTATTTGTTCTAAAATATTTAAGTACTGAATTTTTATTTAAATAATATGAGAACTATTAAAAAGAAAATAATTTTTGTATTTAGACTTAAGATAAATTAAATACTAAATGATAAAAATTATAATTAAGAATATAAATGAAATATCTATCTCCTTGACTAAACTACAAGTTTATATCGAAATAAATATTAAATTTAAAAAAACAGTAGTACTTAATTAAGATTAATCATTATTATACTTATTGTAGTATTAATTGTGAATTAATGTACGCCTGACTTCTGCTAGATTAAATTAAGATAAGAAGTAGTTATTATTAAAAGGCAAATTCTTATTATTTAATTTAAATGAAATATTTCATTTTAAATATGAGTTGGATGAAACATGTGTTTTCTGTTTTATAATTGTTAATTTATATTTCACTATTATTTGTTTTTTTTTTTTATATAACAACTCCTCGCTACTGATTTGTAAGAATATTTTTAAAAATTTCAACGAAAAAAAAAATTACATGCATGGATGGTCTTTTCAAAGTTCTTCTTGTTGGGTTTTTCATTGAAATTTCATTAAAATCAGTGTTTTAAACGTAAAAAAAAAAAATGTTAAAAACACCTTTTTTTTAGAGTAGCATCATTTTGAGTTTTTTTTTTCAAAATTCGGGATCGGATAAGTTTAACCACCAGCTGTCTCAGCTACAATTATTTATAAGTAATTAAATTTATACATAAACTAAACTTAATGTATAAACTAAATTTATCTCGGAGTTTCCACCTATTACATCAATCAATAATTTTTCGAAAAACAACATAATTTGAGATTTGAGTCCACTTGTATGTATTTATTGCGATTAAAAATAAATACACTTATTTTCCGGTAATGATCGTAAAAATAATAACTAATTTGACAACAATATCTATAATTTCAGAAAACTAAAATTTTCTTAAATTATAGCTAAGAAAATGTTATTTTAAGGAATTTAAAAATTATAAATTCTACTATTGATATACATTGTTGTATAATTTTCATTGTATATATTTTATATTTTGGATATTTTATAATAAATGAAAAAATGATCAAATTTTGATAATTGAATTAAGAAATTCTTGAGCATAATTAAAATGGAAAAATTATTAACACTGTAAATTTGGGAGATCATACTTAAGAATTGGTTGTTATTTATATATTGGTAAATTCAACGAGCGACTATTTTAAAATAAATTAAATATTTGAAACAGACTTATTAAGAAGAAAGCCATTTATGCACACCTAATAATCAATAATATCTTGATATAATAGTACAAATAAAAAAGTATAAGGACATAATTCATTATTTTTATCATGAAAATATTTCAACCCAAATTCGTTTGACAATCACTGCCTTTTATTTAAAATAAATTGTAAAATTTTTTAGGAGGCCATAATTTTTGTACATTTTATGTTATATTATATTATAGTATTAAAAAAAAAAAATAATGAAATATCAATAGAAAAATAATTACAAAAAAGTTTAAATCTTTAATAATTTCATAAAATGTAACTAATGAGTATAAAAAAAGACTGTTTAACAATATTATTAAATTTATTTAATGATTATTTCATAATTTAAAATATTGTGTTCAGTTCAACTAATCTGTCAGCATAATCGCCATCATCTAGCATACCGTCTTGCTGCGTCCATTTATGATAAAAATTAAACTACCAAAAATTTGTACGGTATGACCTATCTATGTATATTTAATCTAAAGAGGTAATTATGTATTAATAATGTATAATTAAAAATAAATACATAGATTAAATACACATGTGTATTAAATTTTAATCAATGTAATAATTTAGTGAAGTAAAATTACAATTTTGCTTAATTGATAATGACATAATTATTTAGTTTTAGTTATTAATGAGGTGGACATAATGCACTCAGACCTGTTGGTCCATTGTGCACACCACCTACCGTGGTGCGTCAATTGTCTTGATTCAGTTTATACACCTAGGGCTCTATAAAACAATATATATTTAGTGCCTTAACACACCTAAGTGTTATCACCCAAGTGTTATTACATTGTACTTATCATTGTATAAGGGTGGAATACTTTATTTGAAAACACTAAGTTTACTCTTAGATTAGGAAGTATTATAATGTAAAGATCATTAAAATTGTTGTTTAGTGGAAAAATGTATAATTTTTAAAAAATTTTGTGCCGTAAGCCAGAAATTAACAGATGTTTGATAACAAGTTTTATCAATTATCATAAAAATTAATTGTATAAATGTTCAAGAACTCTTGAAAGTTGAAATAAGAAAAAGCCATACATTTTTACTAGTTATTTATTTGTCATAGATATTAAAGAAAAATACTTATTCCGATCAAAATGTCTGCTATTAAGTTTGGTAGTCATATAAAAGAGTTGCGCTTGCATTTATGTCAATCATCAGCCTCCAGTAAAGGAGTTAGGTAAATATTTAATTTTAATTTTTAATTATTTTTATTTTTATTTCATTTAATTATTTAAATTTAATTCATTCATCAGACAATTTATTGAAAAATACTACGTTCCTTTAAAAAAAGCAAATCCTACTTTCCCTATCTTGGTGCGGGAATGTAGTGGAATTGAACCGAAAGTCTTTGCTCGATTTGGTAAGTAATTTTTCCTACTTTCAATTTTTTTCAAACATTAAATAGTAAATAAAAATGTTCAGAAATTTTGCTGATACTACTTTATTTTAGTTGAGTTATTTTTTAAATATTCGAATACAATTTTAATTTATTACTTCACAAATATTATAGCAATAAAACATTTTCATAGTATTTTTTAAATATTAATAAATATTAAAATATTAGTTTTAATCGATTTACAAAAGTATATCATTAACTTCATTGAACAACCAATATTTATACTATCAAAATATGGATCAACCTAATTTAAATTACTTATCTAGTTATTTACTTATATTAAAAATTAAGGCTATTATTTATTTTAAGTATTTTTGGTATTATTCTGTTTTTTGAACAGTATAGTTTTGACAATATTTGGTATCAAAAACTCAGATGAAAATTTGGTTCTTAGTTTGTTACCAAGCAAAACTAGGACCCTTAATTTTTAAGGTGTTTTATTTTTTTGGTTATCAATTCAGAATTTGAAATATGATCTGAAAATCAGATAAGCAAAGAAAAATGTTCTTTGATATTAATTCTAAAAATTAAATATTAAATAATAACTTGATATCATGGCTATCTAATTATACAAATAAAACCCCCTGTTTTAGTTTGATATTTTTTAAACAAAATAATGATCAAATATCAATTTTATCATATATATTTAATAAATACAATAATTATGTTAAACAATTTCTAAAAAAAACATAAAAATTAAACAAACACAATGATACAAAAATGCTTTTAGCCAACTCATGACTCACATAGCACTTAATTCAAATTTCCCCAATGATAATACTGCTATAACACTGATACCCACCTCCAGATCCCAGAAGTGATGCATTTCAGATATCAACGATACCCCCCCCCCACAAACACATACATATAAAGTTAAATATAAATGTAAATGTAATGTATATAAAGTAAAATTCTATAATAAGATTTACAAATTCTATTGCAATTTATAGTAATTATTTACCATAAGAACAAGACAATTAATGTGTTGTTTCCTTTAGTTAATATACCCTTCTTATGTAAACTAAAAAATAAAAACAATTCTAGATATAAAAATGTTTATTATAAAATTAAAAAAATACATCATAACAATATAAATGGATAACTTATAAAATTAGTAACAATAATACCATCATTTATTTTAACTTAAACATAAATAACTGAAAAATTAACTATAAAGTAGTTTTTTTCAGACCTGTAAACCCAAAAATATATTATGATAAAGTTTATAATAAAAATTCTAGAAATATTAAATGTGGTATTAATTGATTCTGATATTTTTGTTTCAGATTTTGGAAAAGAAAAATGTGAACAACTTTCTGATCAGTCTGCTGAAAGTATTCTAAAGAAAATAGAAGGATTTGTTAAAAAATAATGATTAGAAAGTTTTAAAATAATCAATTTATTGTAAATAAATACCATCAAATAGCCTAGTTATGTAAACTTGTTCAATTACATATATAAATTAGTGTAATATTTTATTGTTAATTAATAAATATATTCATTCTTTTTCTTCATATATGATTAAAAGTTTTGAAAAATAAAATGATAATTTTTTCTATAGTAATACTTTTATTTTAAATTACTAAAATGTAATATTTTTTTTTGAATTACATTGTTTTTTAATCTGTAGCTAATAATAGTATAAAATAATAAATTTGATATTCAAAGCTAGTTTTCAATATTTAATATATATGAATATAATTTTTGTGACCTTATTAAGCTATAAATTTGAAAAAAACCATGTATCCCCTAGCTGCACATCATATTATCAACTTATATGAAAGTTTATTGGGATGTGAATCATAATTGCATGATAGTCTAGCATTCAGGTTTGTCTCTACGACACCTTGGATAGCGAGTTCTAATCCCATGTTTTTTTCACATGATTCCGGTATACCTTGTATTAAAAAGTCCATTTTAAAAGCAACTATAGTTCAGGAAATCAATTTATTCAAATTTTTTTAAAATGAGGACTGAAATTTATTTGTAAAAGCTTGTATTTAAATTGATATATTAGTATAATATTATAAATATGATTATAAAATTTAATTCATTGACTTCCATATTGTTAAAAATTATTTAATTGATCAGTCATTTGAGAAACAACATAAGTCGATTATAAAAAAATTGAAGTAATGCCCAATGTATTGTAGGTATATTTGTAAATAATAATTTATGTTTTAAGTACTGTAAAGGAAGCATGTCGTTTTTCTCAGCTGTGTATAAGTCTTATACAATCTTTGTGGGTTATTTTTCACTATAAGACAACCGATAAATATATTGTATTTGTTCAAAAATTTATATTGATTTTTTTATCACAATTCACCCAATTACAGAACAAAAATAATTAAAATATTTTTTTTTTTGGTTGACTTAAGTTAGATATTTTTCATTAATTATTAACTATGTAATTTTTTTATCTTCATCCTTATGCCTTCTAAAAATGTTAACTTAGTTTTTTTTTTCAAATGAGATCACAGTTTTTGAATTTAATAAAATGTTAAAGGTTTTATTTTAATAGAAAATTATATTTGAATTTTTAATATAACTATTCGTTTATTAGATATAAATCTTTTAACTATCAAATTTTTGTGTTAATATACATGTGTTATACACGAGAGATTACAAATACAAGTAGTTAATTGATTTTTTATGACCGACGTCATAAAAAATCAAAGATACGTAATATTATCAATTATGACTTAATGAATAGATATACTTAAAGTGTAGTCGTAAAGAACATTGTTGTAAGTCAACATTTATAAGTACACTAACTGACAGTATAGAAAACATATCTGTCGATAGTAATAATTGATAATAATTTTTTTAGCATAAACTCAGGAAAATTTATTTTAACGAGGATAAATGTAAGATTTCTCTCTTTACCTACATAAAGAAGGGAAATAGAAAAATCTCAAATCTGATTATAAACCTTATTAATATCTACATTCTTTCCACAGTTTGAAATCAATTTGGAGGCTATAAAATTTTTTGACTTATTTGCAATTTATATTGATTTAAATCTAATCTGGATAAAAGGGTTACTCTTGTTTAAATGAGGACATATTCATGAATAGTTTACGTTCAATTATATAAATAAAATACGTTTGAATAATAGCCGAATTACCCTATTTTCAACCATTCAAGTCAAAAATTGTTAATGATTATTATACTCAGTGTTTTCGTAACAACACAATTGTGATAGTAGCGGTTTTTCAACATATTTTGGGGTGGTCATAACAATAAAATTTACTTGTAATACGTATCAGAGTATTACCCTACATATTAAATATTGTAAAATAATGTGTACTTGGGAGTGATCCAGACCCCTTCTGTAAATCAGCCACTGGCATGCGGTGTACACTCTATTTGAAATTTGGGAGTTATTTAAGATATATTTAACTAATTACTTGTTAAATAAAAAAGGTAGGGTAGCAAATATTTTTTTTAATGTGATACGAACGTTTGAGACCGTATTTTAAGTAATTTACAAACAGTATTGTGTCCAGAAATTAAAAATAGGGAATATAATCAAAGTACACTACTCCAATGACCTATTTTATAGTCAACAAATTCTATTCGTGTGCTTACTATGTAAGCAGTTGGAATTCTTGCCTTAGCAAATATTACCCTGGTTATCATGTGTCAAAAAACTGATAATACTATAATATAGTATTATAATATTAATTATTATTATACATTAATATTATTAATGTAAATTTATAAATATAACATCTATCTACAAATATAAAATATACCAGGCCTAACTATGTATTTAATTATTGTATCTACATCGAGTATAAAATATAGTTTTATTTATATACATATTGTCTATTAATCATTTACACGATCGTATATGATAATGTAACAAAATCGATCGATATGGTTTTTTTCAATGATGAAAAAAAGCAAACTGTAGTTTAGGTAACTCAATTATACTGATAATAATGTAACTAAAATCAATCAATGTTAGTTACCATATTATTTTGAGTGGCAGCTAATTCAATGAGAGGGGAGTATATCTTTTATTCTCCTATAACGTCACCCGCCTGTTTACAGAATATACAATAATTTTAATAACTAAATGTGGGTAAACGATGTGTACCCCACAACACATCAGTGTTAGAACATTTTGTAGGAAATTGTGTTGTTAAGTTAATTTTTATTTACTTTTAAGAAATTTTATCTTTCTAATAAAATAAAAAAATATTTTTACAAAATAGTTTAAATGACAGATAATAGATATTTTGAGGAGCAAATTATGTATAAAATCCCTTTAATTCGTGACGTTACCAACAAAATAAATATCAAGAAAATTGACCGAATTTCGACAGAATAATTTAAATTTTAGGACGTATACAAAAACTATAATCTTTCTATTACTTTACTTAAATTTTTATTTTTAGTAATGTATGTATAAAATATATGTATATAAAATTACTTATTCAAAATAAAATGGTTCGTCGCGGACTAAAAATTTAGAATTATTCTTGACGCTTTTATCGAAAATATGATTGTATTGTATTCTACGAATAATATGTTGTAGTTATTTTTGTATTTTGTGAAATGTACAATTTTACATTTAATTGATAAGTATCAAATTAATGAATGCATCATTGATTTTTCATTTTAGGGACTAAAAGTTTTTTCTTTATAATATGTGTACCAAGCATATGTATTGTAGATCGGTACTCGGACTTGGGTACTTGGTACGGTTCAGGAGGCGCAATGCCTGAATATCCAACTAATGCTCCTTGAACTTGTTTACTTTTTAAAGTGGACCTATTGTTGGGTCTAAAACACTCTTCGTCATCACCTTCATCAACAATATTTTTGTTTGATATATTGTCATCATGTTGTTTGGATTTAAAATCGTAGTTATAAGTAGTTTCATGTTTTTCTTTTATCAAATCACTGACATCATGTGGTTGCATTTTACATAAAACGTCCTTTAAGTAAGGAAAACGCTCAAATAATTTTTGGAAATTTAATAATATACGTTCATATTCTTCGGTCCTTAAAGGTTTATCGTCTTTAAATGGCTCACAAATAGTACATATTGGCGGTTGTTTCTTTGAGATCTGTGGAAGTTATCAAACAAATATCTGCTATAAACTGTTCAGTTGATGATACATGTTTTTAAATTATTTGATAATTCAGTTTTTATCCTTCAATAAAATAAGACCGGTTGGGATATTCAATTATTATTTTAATTTTGGTAATTTTATTGTTTATGATCAATGATTAATAAAACCGTACTTTTATAAATTATAATTTATAAAAGTGTAAGTGTTTAATTTAATTTTTATTTAAATAAAAAAAGGACCATATAAATATACGTTCTTAATAACAATTATGGTATTTAAAATTAGCTAAACTATTTACCCTTTTAATTTTTTTTGGCCATCGGTAATCTACATTATAAACAGAATCTGCTTTGCAATTTTCATAGTTCATTAGAACAATTGAACCTTAATTACAATATTTCTTTAAAAAGTCGATAAAAAATTGTTAGATATGTGTTTAAAATTTTAATTATAAAACCTGAATGAATTATTTTGTAATTTTTTATATTACATTAGGAGTTTCTATAGTTTTTTTAACGTTAAAATAATATAATGTATATTTTATATAAAATCGCTTGTTTACTTCACTATAATGTTTTTTTATTAGTCTATTTACATGGACGTAGCTTGAAAAATTAATTTATGTGGTCTATAGTCTCATATTTCATTTTATTATTCCGAGTATTAGATTTAATGGAGAGTTTCTCGACCACACTCCTTAGACTTTTCTTCCTTACTACAAAAGACAGTATTTTGTGGGTACTATGATTGTATCTATAGGGATTTAAGGCTTTATGAAAACTATGTCAAAGTCTACTTTGATAATTTTGAACAATAGATAACACCTCGATACATTGGTTATATTATTATGATGCCAACGTATGTTTTATAAAGAAAAATGGTTCAATGATGAAGTAACTGAGTTCAAAAGATTGTCAAATATTACATTATTCTCCTTATGAAAATGTAAACAATTATTGTTTACATTAATTATTATTATGATTTTATAATATTGAAATACAAGTTTGTTTGTTTGTATTTGATATTGTTTTATTATTTTTGAACATTTATTTAAGTCTCATATTACTTTTTTGTTGATTCAATAAAGTATTATACTACTTATAAGTAATAAAATAAACAACATTAAGATAAGAGATAATGTAAAAAGTTGATAATATTTTTAGTTAGAAAATCATAATTATTGATACATGGACCGTTAAAAGATCCTGCATCCGTTTTTAACAACAAAGTTTTAATTAATTTAATATGATTTTTAGTATATTTAGTTTATTTTTTGTCTATGTATATAATGTAAACGTTTTTATTCTAGTTTTTAAGATGAAAGTATAGATTTATTTTCTTTATATATCATCTTAGTAACAGTAACGTAAATTTCCTTACACACACACACATTAATATTATATTATAGATGCAAAGAAGATGATGGTATACCTCAAACCAAAACTTATGAACAAATAACAGTTGAATTACATTGCATAAGAAACTATGATGTATCATTAACTAACTAGTAACTTCTTACTCCAATTGTAGTTCTGTTTGTCTGTTTTTTTTTCTATATGCGTATCTTTGTAAACATAATATTGT